TCCAAGTAATTTTTCTTTACTCTACTCATCTATTTGGGCTTCTAAAACCACGTCATTTTTAAAATCTCTTATAGGCCTTCTTGGACCTGAAATACAATTATATTTTTTGATGCATATATATATTTCTCTTATGAAACATTTTTGCTTATGCCGTAGTATGGTTTCTATGATGAGCAGATTACCTAGTTGATGAGGGTACAGAATGCAATTCGACTTCGGACATATTGCTTGAGCGTAATCGTGAACAGAGCCTATTAGATCTTCTCATTCCTTCTATGGTGCTGCTGATCAATCTTTTACAGAAGTTACAGGTTTGCATTGACCTTTCCGTTGCAGAAATGATTTTTTTGCTTGTACTTAGCCTACACATAGTTGACATCTCACCTATTCCTATCTGCCTATACCCTCAAAGTAGAAATTCAATGCAATTATAACATGTTTTTCCACTAGAGCGATCACTTTTTCAACCTTATGCCTCAGTATTTACAGTTTTATTTAAAAGGATTTAGGCCTTGATTATCTATTACTTCAAAATATTATCAGGATGCTGCACTCATATGAACATCTAAGAAAGTGCCCTTCAAAGAACGAAAGAAGATAATTATACAATATGTTTCACTTTATTCTTTGTTCAGCCTTCTAGCAGTTTTCTAAGCTGGTCCTCTTCTTATTTTTCCACTTATAGGAAGCAAAAGAGCAGCACAGAAACACAAAACTGATAAGTTCTCTTGTACAGTTGCATAGAGAAGTGAGGTAATGAAGGCATCTTAGGATTTCCTCCCATAATCAGCAATCTTCCATTTCCTCTTTCTTTTAGATACATCTGTTTATGCATATTCAGGTGAGAAAATATTGGTTCATTGAATTTATTATCTGCAGTCCAAAGCTAGCTGCCTGCGGATCAGATCTATCTTACTCATGTCCTAAAATGGCCCTTAGTCTTGGAACTGTTTCTCATCTTCTAGTGTCAGCATTAGCCTGCTGGTCCATTTATGGATGGACTCCTGGGCTTTTTCATTACCTCCTTGACAATCTTAATGCAACTTCAGTTGTAGCACTTGGTCCAAAGGAAACCTGTAGCCTTCTGTTCCTTCTGGTATGTGAATTTCTTGCGTCGTGTGTTCTTCTAGAATCAGTAAAACTTGGAGTGATCTAAATTTTTTAGCAGACCGTGTATGTAATCTTACAGTTTGTTCTGCTATCTTGTTTCAAGAATGATTTGTTTCCAGATGAATGTTCCTGGCTTTGGAAAGATGGGATGCCTATGTTGGCTACTCATAGAACAGTGGCTGTAAGGACACTGTTAGGGCCTAAGAAGGAAGAGAAAGTTAATTGGTATTTACAGCCTGGACACAGTGAGAAACTGCTTGCCCAATTGACACCACAACTTGGCAAAGTCTCTCAGATCATTCTGCATTCCAGTATCAGTGTACGTGATTCTTGGTCATTATGGTTAATTTAGCCTTGGTGTTTTTGTAATAGGTTGTTTGATTATATATTTCCCTTTGTCTTTCACACGCACACACACTTTCTCTAGCTAAAATTGCTTCATTGTTTTGTCTAGATTCTTTTAATGGCATGATAAATTGATATGTAATTGTATGGAGTGCTTTTTAAACAATTAGGCACATGTTGGTTGCTTTAAAGAAGACTATCAAAGGCAAGTTTAAAAGTGAATAAATTAATACGTAGTATGAAATAGGGGAATTGGACCTTGTACCCCATTGATGAAAACAGAAAAATAAAAATCAACGGAATAAATCCGTTGCCCAGATAATCAACGATAGAAATCGGTGCCCAAGCCAAAAGGCTAAACTCCAATTTTATTCATAGATAAGCAAGAATGAAGCTTAACAATGGGGGTATAAATAGCCTTTTAGTAAGAGACTCAACAGAAACCCTACTCGAGCCCAAATTAATTAAACCTTAATTAAGCCTAAATTACTCTACTAAATACACTACTACTAATAGGCCCAAATTCCCAAACTAGAAAACATAACATAAACTTTATAGTAATAAATAAAACTATAATCCCAGCCCACAACCAGCCCATGGAGGTGGGTCCAAGCCTGTTCCGGCCCCTTGATCTCCCTGCTCTCTATCACCCATTCCTTAATAGGCTTTTGAACTGATGGGGGACTCATTAATTGCCTTTTAGACGGGTGAAAAGCCCAATTTAGCCCGTAAAACAGGGTGCAAAGTCAAATCCCACCAATAGAGCATGTGGTTGATCACATTCATGTTTTGTTTCAAGCCTCAGTATATAGGATTCTAAGCATTGGGAAGTACATGGATTCTTTGGATCTTTACATTCATCATATAATGCCTTCATTTAGTCTGATGGTTTAATCATGGATTCAGACATTGATCGTAGTTCAAGACTTGTTGCGAGTCTTCATCACTCGCATCACAAACTTAAATGCTGATTATGGGGCAGTGCTAGTACGACCTATAGTATTGAAGGTTCATGATCATCTTTCTGAAACTTCATCACTGTCAGAAGTAGATGCCTACAAGGTAACATATATGTTTTTTCCTGATTTCATACTGCGATTTGCTTAGTTTTACCCTTGTTGAAGAGTTTTTCATTGTTTTATACTCCATCCGTCCCGAAAAGGTTCGCCAAATTGCCTTTTCTTGGTCAATTACAATCAACTTTGACTAATGATATTTTTTAATACGAAATTATTTAGAGTATAAAAATTATATCAAAATGTTCATTATTCAAAATATATTCATAAAAAGCATCAAATTTATAAATTCTAGACAAATATAATAATTAAAATCAGTCCAAAGTTCACCATCATTGATCAAGAAAAGTCAATAGGTTGAACCTTTTCGGGATGGAGGTAGTACATTTATAAATGATATGGATCTTGACCTGATAAATCATAGTAGAATTGGGTATCAATACGGGAAATAAATGAGCAATCAAGAATCCAATCATAGTAGAATCGTTTGTATTTACTTGTGCTTTCGAAAAGTAATTTTTTAAAGAATATTTAAAAAGCGATTAATAGTAAATATTGGTAGTGTTTGAAAATGAAAGTGATTTTTAAAAAGTAATAGTTGGAGTGCTTAGTAAGGAAGTAGTTTTAGGTGTATTCATAGGGTAAACTGTTACAGAAAAAGTGAAAAACAGCTTTAAGCACCCTCACCTGCTCGCCACATGTAGTTCTAGAGTGGTTAAAGTTAAGCAGAACCACAACTTAAAAACACTACTTTTAACTTCTTTTAAAGCAAAAAAAAAAAAGATTAGTGCGTCACTATTTTTAACTTTTTTAAAGAAACAACAAAATAAGGCGCTTCATAGGGTCATGTGTTTCATTTTTTATCAAAGTGGTTCATGTGTTTGAATTTCGTTATCACAAGAGGGTCACGCCGTTAAAAACGCCTAAGAAAGATGGTTAATAATAACTCCGATTTTCAAAAGTGCCCGAAAAATTAAAAGAAAAATACCGGAAGGTGCGCCTCAAATAGACAACCACTAGACAATCTTTGGAGGTCATGACCCTATCTGAAAATGGGCCCAACCACAAGTATTTTTTCTGTGCTTTTCCCTTGATTTTTTAGAATAATATTTCTTACCGTATTTAAATATTTTGAAAGATTATAATTAAGGATTCCTTTAGCAAGTGGGAATTAAGTAGTTAAATCGCTATCACGTAGTAACTCGGTCAACGGCCGAGTCACGATTAGGACTGATTACTCGGCTCTGTTTTAGTTAAACTTAAAAACATAAATGCCCCAAACTTCTAGTAATAAATTAGTCTTATAATTTTACAATATGAATACAATTATAATAATCCTAATAATGAAGGAGCAACAAATCCCAACAATCATAAACATTCTAACTTCCAAGAAGATCATTGACCTAATAATACTACTTTATTCTGAATTTTTGTCCTAAAGATCAAAGCTAATCTTCATTGGGTAAAGGGTCACCATCTTCTTCTCCATCCTCCATGCCCACAAACCTAGACTGAATTTGTAATATTAATTTTTCTATTTTGAAATACCTACTAATTAGATTAAGATGGTCAGATTTAGTTTAAAACGGTCAGATTTAACCCCCCAAAATCAATTTTATTGGCTACCGAGTAATTCGGCGAGTCAACCTTGTCACGGAGTAGTGAAAATCGCCGAGTACTCGGCGAGTTACTCGAAAAAATGAGACAGTGCGACTCGGAGTACTAATCGGCAAGTCCCTACCCCGAGTTGGGAGTACTCGGCTAGTACTCACAGATTAGATAACATAGAGTTGGATATTGAGAGATTAGCATGATTGAGGACTCTTTTAGAGTTGGGCAGCTAATTAGAACGCGAAATGGGAAATGTGAGAATCTTTGACAAAGCTCATAGCGGTGTTCAATAAAGAAAACCAACAAATCCCAATATGTTGATTGTCAAGACATCAACGTTCCATTTGTAGAAGGAAGCCTAATCAGCACAGAGATGCTTGGTCCAGAATATCATGTATTGGATAAAGACAATGCCACCAATCTTGCAAAGGAAAGTGGGCAGTAAACAAGGAAAAACATATTCAAAACCAATGATGAAGCACATAGGGAAGGGCATGACGAATAAAGTTTGGCTGAAAAAGAATGAGAGCACACCAAGAAAATGAAGAAAAAGACATGTGGGTGATCCTAGCAAAGGAAAAGAGTAAAAAAGGAGAAATATTTAAAACAGAGAAAGATTAACACAAAACATACATTATTTTATGCATATCTTTCCCCAAAATACACTCCAATGGTAGACGAGTACCCTTCAACATTTTTCTTGCAGCAGGATCTGTCAAAATTGCTCACCCCAAATTCTTTTGGGGCTAAGGCTTGGGTGTTGTGGGTTCGACCAGAATCCATCCTTTATTTGATCTTTTATGGGAAAAAACTCAAAAAAGAACAAGAAAGAGAGGCAAATCTCCAGCCTCGAGGACAAGTCCGTTTTCTAGTGGGCGGCAATGATACATATCTTGACCTGCAAAATCAGAGGAGAATCGGATATCAATAAGAGAAATAAATAAGCAATAATCAAGATTTCAATCAGCACAAGTTTAGGGATTGCTATCAGAATTATTGATTTATTACAAATGTATTCTTATCTTATTAAATATTGTGAAAGATTATGATAAGTACAGGAAAATATGGCGATGAATTGTTGAAATTGAACACTGAAATTGAAGAAGTGAAAAGAAACGATACAGTTGAAGGCAAATTCGAGAGTGCCCTCGGTCTCTCCCAAGTCCCAGTTCAGATCCAAGTTCTGCCTGCCCCTATTCTACTCCCCCAACACCTATTTATTCTTTTCCATTTGGGCTAGCCCAAAACTATTAAATTCAGGGCCTAAACCCCTTTTGTTCTACAATATAAAAAGACTAATATTATTCTTGTTACTAGTACTGTCTAGGTCTCTATCATTACTCCCCCCTTTGACAACCACCTTGTCCTCAAGGTGGGAAGTATCTGAGTAAGAAATAGCCATGCCAGTACGTTTTATCCTTGCTCCTCTGCCTTCCCAGTACTTCAGCTCGGATAGTTTTCTTCGTTTTGGTATCCACTCAATCTCTTTGTCAACATAGTGATCCTTTTGGCCAATTTCGTTATCTCCTTCACTGCCCCATATCTGATCTCTTACAGAATCTCCAATTGAGAATACAAAGTCAGCTTCGGGACTGTAAGTCTCAGTCTTCACAGCAGCAACCAAGGAAGGTAACAAAGAACTTGGCACATTGCCACCAGGCCAACTCCATATGCATAATCCTTCTTCACCAACCTCATCAGTAAGAATCTTTAGTAATAACAAACCACCATCATCCACCATGTGACCAATAGCTGCTGCATGCACAGAATCTCGTTTAGTACTCCGACCATAACAATCTGCATCTCCAATGAATAGAACACCTTGATGATAACAGTTTTGTATGAAATCCTGAATTATGGTCTCAAAGTACTGTTTATTGTTGGAATGATCAACCAATGCTGAAACGATATCCATCCCAAAGATTTGAAAATCTGACTGTCCATCCAAACAGTTGAGCATGACAATCCAAACTCCTGGAGCCAGTTTCACTGTCAGTCCCATAGGTTGAAGGCCCTTGGCCGCCCTTAGTGTTGCATGCCCTTCCGCCTTCAACCCCTCCCTTAAATTAGGCTTCTCACTTAAAAGATCATACAGAACTTTATCTTGAAGAAAATCCTCAGTATCCAGACCCAAAGAGCTCATCCTGATCATTTCTTTGATATGTGCCCTCTCTAAAACCACCCACAGATCAGCAGCCTTGTGTTCATTGAATGGATCAAGGATGAATCCAACACTGCTTGAGAACATAATAAGCAACTGTGGTATAATACCAACAACCTTATGGAAGTCCCTCAATCCTAACCTTGAAACATCACCATCATCAATACTGATCCTCCCTCTTTCCAGTTCCACAAGCCTGAAAAAAGCATCAAGTATGCTAGATTTCCCTTCCTTCTTTTTGTTAGCTTCAGCTTTCTCTTTAACTGTACAAGGTTGAACATTTACTTCAGCTTCCCTTCCTTTAACCCTTTTGGGCTTTAAAGATAAATTCATGAGTTGTTCCCTCTTGGAGATATCAATTCCAGCAATCTGAATAGTAGGGTCCGGATCCACACTGATTCTACTCAACCGGTAATCTGAAATAGGGCCAAAAACATTGTCAAGATTCTTAAATTTGGTAACAACACTGAACTTCTTTATTGCATGAATTTTTCTTTCATGACTGCTATTAAGAAGGAATTCATAATTACAGTTGAAGACTGAGATTGAAATTGAATAAGGCTTATTTAATAAGGCTTATTCAGATTATGAATAAGGCTTCATTTAGCAAAGAGTATTGAGAGATTAGTATAGTTGAGGACTCTTTTAGATTTGGGCAGTGACGAGCACTTTGTCACGGTGCGTCAAAATAAATTCAATACTAAACACTTATACGTAGTATAGCGTAGTAGAGTTCGTATCCACAGGGAAAGGAATATTTCTCTTTCTATGATACTTAGTAAATAAAAAGGGGGGATTTAGATTGAGTGATTTAATTCAATTAAGAACTAAGATGAACAACCTATATGTGTTTAATTCAAAGATAAAAAGGACTTGGCATTGCTACTTTCCACTTGTTGATATATTTTAGTCGATCATTGTCATATCTATAACTTATTCCCTCTCGAATACTCAATCGGGGAGTATATCCACTTCATCGAGGGTAGTCATTAACAACGACCGTTCATTAATAACCCTTACTATTAATCAAATATAGAACAACGCCTTATACCGATTTAATAGTAGCATTTAATCTTTCTAACTCCTTGATGAAATCAATTGAGATTGATAACCTCAACACAAGCGGTTTCAGTTTAACCAACAAAATTAATCCCTCTTAAGTTTATTAACCACGACCGTGCATTAATAAACCGAAGTTACTTACTTGTGAAACCATCAACGATTAACCATCGGTTCGTTGATCGTTTCTAGTAATAATTAACATATGAAACAAAACTAGTTGATCCTTTAAGTAATGTTCAAAATATTAATATGAAATAAGAGTAGGAATTAATTAATATTCAAGGAAGAATATTATTAAAGAAGATGAATCTTACTATAATTAATATCAAGATGTTAACTAATTGTCATCTTAGCAACACTCCTCAATATTAATATAGAGGAAGAAAATACCATTCTAACTAATGTCGAGATGTTAACTAATTGTCATCTTAGCAACACTCCCCAACATTAATATAGAGATGATATTAAGGAAAGAACTATTAATTAATATTCAAGGAAAGAAGTTAAGAAAATAACTCACAACTTTAATAATCAACAAACTTCAAGAGCAACACCAAGAATGGAAGTTTAGCTCCTCATTTGGAGACTAAACATAGCTAGAAAAATATAAAGAAATGCTATTCTAAACTGAGCTAAAGAGTATGGAAGAAGGGATTGTTTTTAGAGGAGAAAAAGAGTGCTATTTATAGGTGTTTTTCAACACCTTTGGCCGGGTACCCGACCGGGTCAAGTACTCACCCGACCGGGTGCATGTCAAAATCAAATATCCTCCACGTTCTGGCGATCTTCAGCATGTTAAAGTGTCCGGGTCAAGTCAGACCCGACCGGGTGGGGTAGGGGACCCGACCGGGTGAGTGCAAAAATTGGATTTTCTTCACGTTCGGGTGATCTTTGCACACCGGGTTGTCCCCGGTCACTTCTCACCCGACCGGGTGAGGTAGTGGGCCTGACCGGGCCATGCACTTTCTTTGCATTTTCGTTTTTCACTTCTTACCCGACCGGGTCAAGTATTATACCCGGTCGGGTATTTGCTCCTGGGCAGCCAAATCTTCTTTTTCTTCACTTCAAAGTCTTCCTTTCCAAACCAGAAATCCTAACTAAACTTTACAACTGACAAAAATAGACTAAAATACAATTACAACTTGAAATCACATAAATGTTTACAAACTAAATAAAACGTCAAACAATTAACATAAATCAAACATAAAAACATGTAATTATGCACTACTAATTAGTGTGCATCAGGCAGTACTAGGCTGCCTTGCTGGGGGATACATTCGGGCATTTCATGTTCCTTTTCTTTCCACCTAATACACGTCTGTTTCTTTATAATGGTTTCCGTTTTGTAAAACATTTTCTTCTTGATTATTTGCCCTCTTTACTCTTTGTCATATTCTTTTTCCTCTATCCTTGCATTGTTTGTTTTTTCCAGGTGCACCACATGCTGCTTTTCATCTCTCTTCTGTTAGAGCATCCACATGCTAAGGTGCACATTGTGCCTAATTTCGTATTGTCCTTGTGTCACCTCATCTATTAAAAATGACAAATTGTTTTTATTTCTTGCTTTCTTCATTCATCAGAAAATTATTTTGAAGGCTGGTGCTGCTGATATGCTAAGTAAAGTGCTTCAGAAGTGTTTAGATGTTGCCAACATAGACCACCAAGTGTTCCTACAGAACAGAAATGTTACCGGAAAGTTGGCGTCAATATTGAGTTGGTGCACACCAGCTTTTAAGTCAATCTCACTAATATCTGATCCTGGAAAAAATAGACACAACAAGTCACTGCCTGAGAGGTTAGCAGCTGTTTATGGATTATCAACAATGATTTTTCTCAGCCTATGATTTGATTTTGTAAATTGTTGGTTTTCAGACACATCCCTGAAGCTTTCACAGATGAGGAATGTACCTTGATCCTTGCACAACTTTTCACATTCTTCAAAGTACGTTTTTTTCATATATTTAAATTTTACTGTGCGTACTGATCCTATGACATATTGCCATATTGGAACATGTGAGTATGTGCTCTTTTGCATTTTACCTAAACGGAAAATTGTTCTTTTGTGTTGCTACTGTGTCTAGATCCTGCCAGTGGAAACAGAATTGCTCACCTGCCTTTCAGCCTTTAAGGAAATGGGTTGTTCAGCGCAGGGAAAAAATTCTTTGCATTCTATTTTTCTGCATATTCAGTCCATTGATGAAGATTATGAAACTGAGAGATGGTCCGGAGATGTCCATTACATCATGAAGAAATTTGACTGGAAGGATTATCCTCCTTTGGCATATTGCTGGCGTTTTTTGTTAAATTCAATTGCTTCACAGAATATTCCTCTGGTATATGCTGTTGAAGCTATTGGGACATTATCTTTGGCTTCTCTGCACTTTTTCATGGATGCAGACAGGTATGTCTTCATCTTTGCATTTTCTGTTATTTTCTTTGTGAGCTCTTTCTTCTTTTGTTATAGTTTACTGATTTTACTCCATAAATTGCGACATGATTAGTTTGATAGTTTGCTTGCATTGACCTGGTTTAAGTATTGCTTCTTCAGTGCGAGCTTGGAGAGGGGTATTGCAATCAGGTATCTTTTTGGTTTTAAGGATGAAGACAGTGGTCCTCCTGATGTTTTTGAAGAGAGCATGAAATCTTTAGACAACTTTACCAGTTTATTTGGATCAATCGGCGATGATTATATGAAATCGGTGGGTTGGGACTTGGCCTATCTGGACCATGTATGCTTCGCTTCTCTCCTTGCATCTTTACTTCATTTTTCTTTATTTCTTTCTTTGTTTTAATGTGTCTGTTTGACTAATACTCCACCCTCACTTTTGTTCTCCGACTTTCTTATTTTTCACTCTTGGTGCATGTTTCTCACTTTCTTGCCACTTATCCTGCGAACACTAAATGAAAATTGTTACGAACATTAAGTATCTTATTGTGGTACACCCATGAACAACCTTCTTGTTTAGATTTGAACCCTAGAATCCTCAAGATTGTGAGTTCTCGAGACTCGTGCGGTTTTTTCGGTTGATGATGATGCACCATAAGATATAGAACTTTTTGTTGAACATTTTTAAGCCATATATAGAATACTTTTGTTGAACATAAGTGGATAGAAATTATGTCATGCACCATAAGATATAAAACTTTTTTTTGGGACAAAATTATTGAACATTTTTTTCTTTTCCTGGTAAAAATGTTTGATGGGATGATTTTATAATGTAACTGCAGGTCAAGGAATCAGCAAAGTTACTAATGCTTTTGTTGCATGAGCCTTCTTCTAGCGCAGTTAAGCCAGATGAAATTGCCAGCTTCCTCTCCATTTCCCCAATTGAACCTCCTACAATTTCTTCTAAGATTCATAGACTAGTAGATAGAAGTGCTGAAAGGATTAAGGGTGATAGCTTCATGGATGAACTTGGAGACAATTTCTTGTGGGAGTGTCCTGAAAATTTACGCGAAAGGTTGACACAAATTGGTCTTGCGAGTAAAAGGAGAGGCTCTTCAATGGAGCTGGGATCAAATAGGCGTGGCAGGGGTGACCCTTCTTTCTCAGTTGCTGAGATTGCACCACCACTGCCACGGGTGTCTGTACCACCTGCCGTCATTTCCGGTCCCTCCCGACGTGACACCTTTCGGCAGCGAAAGCCTAACACCAGCAGACCTCCCTCCATGCATGTCGATGACTATGTTGCGAGGGAAAGAAATGCTGATGGGTCCTCAAATTCAAATGTTATTACGTTACCAAGGACAGGATCTTCCGGACGACCGCCATCTATTCACGTAGATGAATTCATTGCCCGTGAAAAGGGACGCCATTATAGCATGACGGTCCCACCACCTATCACTGAAGAGAAAGTGAGGCCGGTTCATAATAAACCGGATATGGAGAAATCGCCGATGTCTTGCCAGATGAAACCTGACCTAGATGATGATCTTCAGGGGATTGATATTGTTTTTGATGCAGAGGAGTCTCAAGAACCCGATGATGATGATAAGCTGCCCTTTCCTCACCCTGATGATCATCTTCAACATAATTCTACTCCTCGCTCAATTGTTGAAGAGACAGCGAGTGAGGACACTAGACAGTCGTCTCGTGTGGTGTCCAACACAGTGGAAAACACACAGGGCGAGTCCTCTTCACGGATTTCAGTTTCTCGTCCTGAGATGGGATTGAGCCGGGAACAGAGTGTTTCTTCAGAGAGGAAGTTTACTGACCAGTCTGAGAAACCTAAGAGTTCCTTAGTTAAGACTTCCAGCAAGGTTTCTGTTGATTCTCCCTCGCCAACCAAAATATTTTCGGCAACTGAGCTAAAACCAAATTCTGCGGTGGTTCCCCATGAATATAATGGTCATAAATCACTACTGCTTCAGGCAACTTTACCTTCTATGCTGCCTCTGGCAACTGCCTCACCTATAATTGTAAGTCAATCTTATCAGGCAAAATTGACATTTTAAGCCCTTGAACTATGCCTGTAGGCCATGTTGGGCCCCTCTACTTGTAACGTGGCAGGCTCTTTTGAGCACGTTTGAGACCTATTTAAGCCACATTGAGCCGTTTTTTTAATTCTCATCTATTTCTTTTGTTAGTGCATTACTTGTAACGTGGCAAGATCTTTTGTTAGTGCATTCTCATCTTTTGTTAGATATTTGGGTGCCACATGTGAATTCCATACTGGAAACCCCAGAAAACTCATGCCGAGACCCAATCAGGCTTCATTTTATTGTGAGGTTTACTAGGGAGTCTGATACGAAAACACGATTCATGTCTGGTGTTTATTACATAAATAAATACATATATGACAGTCAAATGGTTCCTGATCCCATGTGTGAATAAGAGGTTAGGCTGATAAGATAAAAAAGAACTCATTGTAGCTTAAGCCTGTCATCGTGCTCAATAGGTGCAGTTAGACCTTAGAAGTTTAGGGGCTGGGGTTCAATAGGGCCAACGAACATAGTTCAATTGCTTATAGTGGGGTTTGGGATATGTTGCACAATAAAGTAAAGTTATTATTGACTAATAGTCCAATACTACACTGAATCTTAAATGATTTTATTTTGTTCTGTACTTAAAAAAATATGCTCTCTTCTCCCTTTACTGGTTTTATAATTCTATCACAGATGTATAGGCGTATAACCTCAATGCCACCAGGCTTTCATGTAAATTAAGCATTCTCTTTTGTTCTTTGTTCACAAACAGCTCAGTACTTTTTGCTATGTGTTTTACTTTTTGCAGGTTCAACCAGACTATAAGTCTATGCGGACTGTCACTTCTGCTTCTCTGACTTCCAATCTTTTGCCTGATCCCAATTATTCTAGGATATCACTTTCTTCATCTACCCGACCATTCCCACCACTTCCACCAACACCGCCTCCTTTTGCAGTTAATAGCGCTACCTTTTCATCGTTAAAACCTTCCACTTCACAATGTACCATATATAATCAGAATGTCTTAGGTACAAGTGAGGCTCAGCAGGCTGACCTTTCAACTCCAGGACCCTCGCAAACACCATTCTCACCCCCTCCTTTAGTGCCTCATTTGATGTTCAGTAGACCTTACGGTAGTAATAACTCGGCCTCTCCACATCAGCATGCAGACAACTCTCACTCTATTAGTCAGTTGCATCCATTACAGGTCCCTCAGATGCCACGTCACCCTCCATCGCAGCATCTCAGACCGTTCGTTCAGATGCAAATGCAGCAGCCGTTGCAGATGATGTTGCAGCAGCAACCCCAACACTCTCAAGCTCCTCCCCCTCCCCCTCCTATTTATTACAATAATTATACTCAACAACAACAGCAGAGTACTTCACATTCATTACCACAACAACAGCAACAACAGCTTGATCATCTCCTGCCACAAGGTTCTCGTCAGCATGGCGATGGTGGATCCCAGCAACAAGATAGTGAGATGTCTTTACAAGATTTCTTTAAATCTCCAGAAGCTATTCAGGTAATGACATGTTTAGTTACATGCAATTATTGGGGTTTACGTTTTAGATGCAGAATTT